TAGGAATAAACTTAATTTTTTTAGTTTTTTTAAAGATTTTTTAAAAATCTTTTAAAAAAGATTTTATTTATTTATTTGTGATTTTTTTAAAGATTTAAAGATGTTTAAAGATTCTTTAAATCTTTTTTTTAAAGATTTTATTTATTTATTAGAGAGAGAGAGAGAGCGAGAGAGAGAGAGCATGAGCACAGGCAGACAGAGTGGTAGGCAGAGGCAGAGGGAGAAGCAAGCTCCCCGCTGAGCAAGGAGCCCGATGTGGGACTCAATCCCAGGACGCTGGGATCATGACCTGAGCCGAAGGCAGCCGCTTAACCAACTGAGCCACCCAGGCGTCCCTTTAAATCTTTTTTTAAAAAAGATTTTATTTATTTATTTGACAGAGAGAGATATCGCAAGTAGGCAGAGAGGCAGGCAGAGAGAGAGGGGGAAGCAGGCTCCCCACTGAGCAGGGAGCCCAATGTGGGGCTCAATCCCAGACCCTGAGATCATGACCTGAGCCGAAGGCAGAGGCTTAACCCACTGAGCCACGCAGGCACCCCTAAAGATTTTTTAAATCTTAAAAGATTTTCCTAATCTTTTTAAAAAGATTTTATTTATTTATTTGGGAGAGAGCGTGCACACAAGCAGGGGGAATGGCAGGCAGAGGGAGAAGCAGACTCCCCACTGAGCAAAGAGCCCCATGCGGGACTTGATCTGAGGACCCAGGGATCATGACCTAGGCTGAAGGCAGATGCTTAACCGAATGAGCCAACCAGGCATCCCTAAACTTAAGTTTTTGAATCTATCCTACTGTTAATGGTCATTTGGGTTGTTTCCACTTTAGAGCTATGAAAATGCTGCATGCACATGACTTTAGATGCAAATATATATTCATTTCTGGTGGCTATCTCTAAAAGTAAAACTCCTGGTCGTAGAATACGCATGTGTTTTGCTTTGGAGGTATGCCAAAGACTTTCCCCAAAATAATATTACCAATTTACATTCTCATCAACAACGTATGGAAGTTCTCATTGTTCCATAATCCTTACTAACATGTGGCACTGTGGATCCATTTTTTAAATATCTATGAGTGAACACAGGCTGCTTCCATATCTTGGCTGTTGTAAATAATGCTACAATAAACATAACGGTGCATTTATCTTTTTGAATTAATGTTTTTGTTTTCTTTGGGAAGATATCCAAGTGTGGAAAACTGGGTCCTAAGGTAATTCTATTAATTTTTTGAGGAACTTCATGCTGTTTCCCACAGTGGTGGCACCAATTTACATTCCCACTGACAGTGCACGGAGAGTTCCTCTTCCCTGCATCCTCACCAACACTTGTTACTTCTTTCTTTTTGGTCTTGGCCATTCTGACAAGTGTGACATGATATTGTGGTTTTGATATGCATTTTCCTGATGATCAGTGATGTTGAGCATCTTTTCATGTGTTGTTGGCCATGGGTATGTCTTCTGTGGAAAAATGTCTATTCCTGTCTTCTGCCCTTTTTGGAATTGTATTATTTGGGGGCTCTTTGGTGCTGAGCTGTATAAATTCTTTATGTATTTTGGATATTAGCCACTTATTGGATACGTCACTTGCAAATATCTTCTCCCATTTAGTATTTTGTCTTGCTTTTTGTTGATGTTTTCCTTTCCTGTGCAAAAACTGTTTATTTTGGGGGCGCCTGGGTGGCTCAGTGGGTTAAGGCCTCTGCCTTCGGCTCGGGTCATGATCTCAGGGTCCTGGGATCGAGCCCCGCGTCAGGCTCTCTGCTCGGCGGGGAGCCTGCTTCCCCCTCTCTCTCTGCCTGCCTCTCTGCCTACTTGTGATCTCTCTCTCTGTCAAATAAATAAATAAAATCTTTTTAAAAAAATGTTTATTTTGGTGTAGTCTTGGTAGTTTAATTTTGCTTTTATTTCCCTTGCCTGAGGAGGTATATCTAGAAAAATGTTGCTTGGTCCAATGTCAAGAAATTACTGTCTATGTTTTCTCCTAGGAGTTTTGTGGTATTGAGTCTCAAATTTAGGTCTTTAACCCATTAGTTCATTTTTGTGTGTGGTGTGAGAATGCGGTCCAGTTTCATTCTTCTGCATGTAGCAGCTCAGTTTTCCCAGCACCATTCATTGAAGAGACTGTCCTTTCCCCATTGGATATTCTTGCTTCCTTCCTCAAAGATAAGTTGACCACATATGTGTGGGTTTATTTCTGGGTTGTTTATTCTGTTCCATTGATCTGTATGTCCATCTTTGTGCCAGGACCATACCATTTTGATTACCAGACGTTTGTAGGATACCTTGAGATCTGTCGGATACCTCCAGCTTTGTTCTTTTTCAAGATTGCTTTGGCTATTCAAGGTCTGTTGTGGTTCCATACAAATTTTAGTGCTATTTATTCTAGTTTTATGAAAAATGTTGTTGGTATTTCGATAGAGATTGTATTGAATCAGTAGATTGCATTGGGTAGTATGGACATTTTAACAACATCGGTTCTTCCAATTCACAAGCATGGAATATCTTTGCATCTGTTTGTGCCATCTTCAATTTCTTCCACCAGTATTTTACAGTTTTTGAAATATACATGAATCCATTTTTAACAAGGATTTCAGCATTGGGGTTGTGGTTGCTTAAGAAATACCTAGTGGCCTGTCCTATCGACAACGTTCAAAAGCCTGAAAACGTAGAGTTGGGGAGGCTGTGTGAAAACAGGCATTCTCACACTCTGCTGTTGAGAGTGTAAAATAATACAATGCTTGCAAAGGTACTTTCCTTTCTCTCTTCCCTCCTCTTTCTTCATTGTTCATTGTAGCATTACTTGTTAAAACAAAATACTGGAAACAATCCAAATACCCATCCCTTACAGACTGGTTGGGAAAATTCTGGTATGGCCACATGTTGGAGTACTATGCCACGGCAAGCAAGCAAGCAATAAGTAGATAGATAGGTAGATAGATAGATAGAAGGATATTCCAATGAACACATAATTTCCAGGTTATTTTAGTAAGTGATAAAGCAAGGTGCCAAAGAATGTATATAATATGATAATTCATAGCAGTAAAGAAGGTATATGCTTAAATTTGTGAGAAAAGAGAGTAGAGAAGAAAGGAAAGACGGAAAAGAGGAAGGAAAGACAGGATAAATTAAAACTAATGAAAATGGGGCGTGAATATATAGTTGACCCTTGAACAATGCAGGGGTTGGAGTACTGACCCCCACGCAGTCAAAAATCCGTGTATAACTATTGATGCCTCCAAACTGAGCTACTAACAGGTTACTCTTAACTGGAAGTCTTACCAATAACATAATTAGTAGATTTATAGACATTTGGTACGTTACATGTATAACATACTGTATTCTTTTTTTTTTAAGATTTTATTTATTTGACAGACAGAGATCACAAGTAGAGAGAGAGGAGGAAGCAGGCGCCCAGGCGCCCCTATATACTGTATTCTTATAGTACAGTAAGCTAGAGAAAATAAAATGTTAAGGAAATTATAAGGAGGGGGCCTGGGTGGCTCAGTGGGTTAAGCCTCTGCCTTCTGCTCAGGTCATGATCCCAGGGTCCTGGGATTGAGCCCCGCATCAGGTTCTCTGCTCAATGGGGAGTCTGCTTCCCCTTCTCTCTCTGTCTCTCTGCCTACTTGTTATCTCTGTCTGTCAAATAAATAAATAAAATATTTTTAAGAAATAAATTAAATAAATAAAATCTTTAAAAAAGGAAGTCATAAGGAAAATACATTTATAGAACTGTACTATATTTAATGAAAAAATCTGTGTATAAGTGAACCTGCACAGTTCAAACCCATGGTGTTCCAGGGCCAACCGTATATAGAGTAAAGGAGTTAGGGATGGAAACAGAACTCTGGATATTTCCTTTTATATCATTTAGATTTTGAACTATGTGTTTTGCATGTTCATAAAAGAAATGAAAAGGGATGAAAGGAAAACAAACCCTGAAATAGAAAAACAAACAGAAACAAATGATCCTAACTGTATATCAAGCTTATAACAAAAAGAGAAAAGAATTCAAATTAATGTATGTATACAGTACTCTGACTGAACTCCCCCTAATAGAATATATTTCAAAGAACCAATAAGCAAGCAAAGCAAGCAAAGAAATTCTGAACTCCACACAGCAGGTATACTGTTGCTAGTGACACGGGCACTGAGAATTTGAAACTATTTTGTTTACATTGTAAGACAGAGCAAATTGGGGGAATATATATGGAGCTGTTAGGAACCAGGTTTTCGGGAAAAACAGAAAGGAAAAGGAAAAACAAACTGAATTTGTATTTGAATTGGAGACAATCTATACAATTCCGAAGAAAATATAATTGTGGATAAGGCCTAAAGCAAAGCTGTATCCCGGTGCCAGTGAGAGGATCCGTTGGTTTCTGTACACCGTCCTCCGCTGAAAGGAACCCGAGCTTCATGAAACAAGGGTGGGTTCTAGGTCTAGAGCAGGAAAAGCGTAAAAGGAGCCTGAAATATCTTGAATAAATGCACAAAAACTGTTTCTTTGCAGGAATGACACTAAGAAAGGCGGAAGGAATGCACGTCAGTTTCCTCATTTGTTCCATGGGGATAATTGCGCCGAACTTACAGCGTTGCTATTTAGAATGAATGAGTCAATACGTGCAAAACTCTAAGTTGGCCGTTACTGCACTTGCTGGCCTGGGAGACACTACGCCTCCCCGCGCCTCACTCCACTGGGGAGGAGATTCGCGAGGCGATCACAGAGGCGTGAGACCTCCGGGCGTGCTAGAAGGAATGCTGTCGGAAGCGCTGTCCCCGGGAGGCGGTCCGCGTGACGCACTTCCGGCCTTTGTAGACCCGCTCTCCTCAGCGGCGGTTGTCAAGGACTTGGAGGGGGTGCGGTCTGGCCGGGTGGCCTCCTCCTCCCACGGATGCCGGGTGAGCTTTGGAGTCCGGCTCCGCCGAGGGCCGTCAAAGGGGCCGGTGTGTGCGCGGCGCCCGGCCTGGGTTGGGGAGGCGGCCCGGACCCGCCCCCGTCACCCTGCCGGCCTCCGCGGACGTCTTCCCGCGTCCGGCGGCCGCTGCTGGGGGCCGATTGAGCGAGGAGCAGGAGTCGCGTTACAATGCGCCGCGGCCTCTCGTAGTCTGCTCCACCGACGGCGGAGGCTCTTGCCTTGTCTTGATTTTCCCCTTTTTAGCAAATGCTTAAATAGCCGTTGTTCTGTTCGGGCAGGCATCGTGGAAGGCACTTTCCAAGTACTAACTTAGTCCCTTGTCAGGACTCTGGGAGGCAGGCGCTGCTGTCACGTGAGCTCCCCTCCTTCCCCCTTTTCTAACGTGGAGAGAGGAGGAGGTCAGGACCGTCCCAGGGCCAAGCAGCTGCCGTCGTAGGACGCGCCTCCGGGCTGCCCGGCTCCGGGTCCGTCTGCCGTGCGGGCTCTGCGTCAGCCTTACAGCCACAACCCAGGACGGTTCTTCTCTCACTGGAGTCTCATCCTCCACTTTTCGGACCTCAGTCGTCCTGGGCTTCTGGTGAGGATTTGAGATGGGAGAAGAACAGACCCTATCGGGTGTGTGTCCGCTGTTTTAGTTGCGTGTTCACCTGTGCGGTGCATGTTTCCCCACCCACTTCCCCACCCTGTGCTTTGGGCCGCAGAAAACACGACCCTCTTGGCGCCGAGGGGAGGTAGCAGCGTTTCATTTAGCCACCTTAAGCCAAAAATTGCACATTATCTCTTGAGAAGGTGGTTAACTTGCAAGCTTAGTAAGTGCCAGGCTTCATGCAAAACCAGTTTATATACGTCGTCTCATTTACTGTCCTTGACAACTTTGCAAAGTAGCTGTCCTCGTTTCGTTAATGAGATTGAGGGTCAGGAAAATCAGGTAACTCACCCAAGATCACACTGCTAGTAGGTCAGCATTCACAACTAGATCTGCTGCCTCATACTACCTTCCACGTACTGCAGATTAATAGGGAGGGTAAGAGCTGGGTTTTGCGCATGTGGGTGATGCGCGCACACTCCTGTGCCTGAGATTAAAGATGGACAGAGAAAGTCTGAAAGGGTCCATTCTAATCTTTAACAATGTCTACTTCCGATGAAGGAATTCTTTATCCTGTACGTTTTGGATTTTTTTTTTTTTTATATGAGAAGTAACCACAGGATAGATTGTGACTAAGGTAAAAGGTGGGGCTCGTGATCTAAGAGCTGGAAGGAGGAAGAGGGTGATGGAATGGATGAGGAAGACCTCAGAGGACGTGAGAGTCAATCAAGGTGCAGAGACTGGGTGGGGTTTGCGTAAGTGCCGAAGGCAAGACCACAGGCATAGAACACGGACGAGGAAAGCCTGATGAAAGAATAGTGAGAAGAAAATCCCAAGTGGAACTGGCAGTTTTTGCATGTGGAATAGAGGAAAACAAGAGTGGGACCCCACAGTTGAAGCTGGAGATGTGACTAGCCCTGAGCCAGGCTTGGGAATGTGGGGATGTGTCCGATAAGTCATGGGGGGCCTTAGATGGTGACACCTGAGGAGAATGTGGGGATACATTATGATAAAGACATGTTTGTATCGCATGCTGCTTGGTCTTCCCCTACCTGCCTATCCTTGGTGAAGAGCATTTCTCCCTGAGTCATGGTAGATTTGGGGGTATTGAGCTTGCTGGGGTTCTAAGAGAAACCAGCTTTAAAATGCAAATTTTGTTTGTTTGTTTTCTAAGTGCAAGCGATTATTATGCTATTTATATACCTGGCATATTCAGATGGCCCCCAACAAGAAGGGATGATTTTTCAGCTTAACGATGATGGGAAGGTGATTCATGTTCAGTACTACAAATTTCGAGTTTTGGTCTTTTCTCCAGAAAAACTTACAAGAAACAGCTGATATATATTGATATATACAGCCGTTCTGTGCCCATACAGCCGTTCTGCTTCTCACTTTCAGTACAATACGCAGTAAAGTACATGAGACTTTCAACACTTCCCTACAAAATGGGATTTGTGTTAGGGGATTTTGCCTGACTGGAGCCTAGCATAAGTGTTCTGAGCATATTTAAGGTAGGTGAGGCTAATCCGTGATGTTTGGTGGGTGAGGTACATTCAGTGCACTTTCAGTGTGTGTTGTTTTCAACTTGTGATGGGTTCATGAGGCCATAACCCCAGTGTAAGTCGAGGAAGACCTTAGAGTGGGGTGGTGAACCTAAAAGAGCTTAAGAACTGTTTGTGAGGGGCACCTGTGTGGCTCAGTGGGTTAAAGCCTCTGCTTTCGGCTCAGGTCATGATCCCAGAGTCCTGGGATCAGGCTCTCTGCTCAGCAGGAGGCCTGCTTCTCTTCCT